GCGCGAGAGCGCTTCCGCCACCACATGAAGCTGACTGAGCTTATACTATACACTGAGAATATACTCAGCAAGAAGAATATACACCCCACCTCATACTCGTTCAGGAGTGCTGACGCGTTACGACGGGTGATTTGAAAATCAAATTTCGGTTAGTGAATGTAAGAAAACTAAATAACTACCAAAGTGCCCATTCTCGCGCTCGACCACCGAGCTTTGAGATAACTAGTGCTACGCGCTGTTGCTCGATCTGGAGCATGGCGAATGCGATGGCCATCTCAACCTCTCTCACCCAGAGCAGGAGATTCTCTCCATTCTTCCCCTCAAATACCTTAACGCTCACAATGATCGGCTTAGGGCGGGGAAAATCATCCGTCACCGACGGTGACGTTATAGACGCAAATTATGCAGACATCTCCTGCTGCAGGTGCTCTAGTAGCGCGCTTTCGTAATTTAAAAACGCCTTTAGACGCGCACCGATTGCTTCCGGGTCTTGCGCCGCAAGGTGTTGCATGCCTTGGGGCAAAGCGGTAAATTGTTCCATCCTCACAGAGGATCAGTCTAAACGACTCAGTTGTAGATTTACTACAAGTGCTACCAAGTGCAGCGTGGCTGCCGTAGCTTTGCGCTTTGAGGAAGCGTGAGTTAGGTCACCGACCTTTCGTTCTATACTTAGAACAAGTACGAGTTTAGCGAATCGCAATCCGTTTACTCCAAGAGTAATTCCTGCCTTATCCCAGGTCTAATTAACTCTTCCGTTTAACTTCAAAAACTGACTTTATTTATTTTTATCTGCGGCAAAGCCGCCAAATTATAAATGTAAAGATTCTCCCAAATATATATAGTAACATCTAAATACATGCATAACTACTGGCTACCCAGACACATACCGTATTCTTATTTGGGTGCAGTCACACAATGCCCATCTCGTGTGACACACACCCCTGTAATTAGGGTATGTGTAACCTGTTACACTTCTCCTGAGGATTCTCATGCACGACTTCGTCGTTCGGTAATTGCATGCGCGATGTGCTTTGCTTCCTTTCAAAGCAATGCCGCTCCATGGTAATGTCAAGTTTTCTCTTCCAAATGAGAGCTTTCTAGGCCAGAATGCTTAACATCGGTCGAAACTATCTGTTCTCACACGTATGCCCAGCTGGAGTGCTCCCGGACGTGACTATCCAGCACAAACTCCAAGGTGATGAGCGCCTCCAATGAGTAACTACCACCTTCGGCTTTATGGCCGCCAGTTTCCTGAATCCATCAGGACCCAGAATATACAAAGTTGTACCACATTTCCGCAATCAGGTTGTTTAACAATTCGCTTTTCATCCAAATAAAAAATAGTTTATACCATACTCGACAGTCGGATCTACCACAAGCTCTCATTTAAACGTATACTAAATAACTCGTTTTACTACTTTTCATAATATAGCTATCTGACGTACAGAGTATCTTCCTTTTCAGAGATCAGTAATTTTCATATCCACCAATATTCAGGTTGATTTCAATATTCACAATTCCAATGCAAATTTCGTACAATCGTACCGATTAACCCGCTAAAATATTTCGTGATAGTGACTTATATTTAGGCTTCTTTCTATCTAAACACGTACTTAACTATAACAAAATATCTGTATTGCCTGACGTTAGGATTCCATCCGATGTTCACAATGGACTTCACCTTATTGAAGTCCCATCGTCTTTGATTAATACAATGATATGACTCCCTGATGACATAAATGTACGTATGGAAGTGTAATGTGTACGTACACGATTATACCCTATTATAAGGACTCCGATCAAAGTCTGAAGAATGAGTGGTTCAGGTCGATTCGTCTCTTATTTCAATAAGCAAAAAGTACAGTCTGCCATATGGTGATCTTATGCAACCCACCAACTGGTGTGAAAAATTTTGATGCAAATTTATAAGTAAGCCAAATTTTTTCATAAGATATTACAGCCCATAATCTCTAATCCTGTGCAAGTGTACCGGCTAAGCGACCTTCCATCTGCTCAGCAATTTGCTTGAATAATACTATAAAGTTCTGAATTTGGTCAAGTTCTAGATTTATTTAATACACACCCATAAAGTCATTAAACCATATATTTTTCAAATGTGGTACTTTACATACCCGAAAGCCTGGCTACGCGGCTAGAATCCGCGCTATCCATTCGTTTATGGATACCCTAACAACATTAGGCATAGCTCGAGTCAGTTTATGATACTTGAGAAAAGGCAGTCAGATCAGATTGGACCTCAAAATTGTTGAACAGAATGGTCAGTCGGCTGGCATTGAGTTGCATATGATGGGAAGAAGATAAATTTCATGATCTTGAACTGTGACATTTGATTGCCATGAAGCTGGAAAAGTCTTCAAATTTCTATTCCGTCTGAATGTGAAATCTTATGCAGCCTTGCATTGTCTACGTCAGAAATAGACAAGAAAGCTCAAATTTTGGTAACCGGTACTGCCAACTTGATATTGAACGCTGATGTGACTATAGTGCAGCTGAATTCTTTGGAGATGAGCTTGTTGAACTCACGTCAACGTATCATATTAAATCTTATGACCATTTAGAATGTTTTGATTAACAAAAACATACGTACTTTTTTCAAGAACCTTAAGTTGAGTATACGTTTACGAAAATTGTGCAGATTCATATAAACGTACCATTAAAAGATTCTTTACCGGTTTCACAGTCTCCATAGTTTTCGAGGAGCAACATGTAAGGACACTGGAACATTATCCCGATCACAGGAACACTATACAATCTATTTCTTTTTTCAATTAGATACAGACTCCCGTACCCCATCACCGATAAGATTCTTCAATCTAATTCCTTTTTTGTGACGATCACGATCGTTGCGACACTGTCAACAGCTCAAACTTTTTTTTCTTATGCTCGATTCTTACAGACTGACTGGCTGGAAGAATACGGTAAACTTTCCATGAAGAGTTCTGTGGTTGCTATTTCCTCAGTTGTCAATTTGCTTTGCAAGACTAAGAAGAAAGTTATGTTTTCGCTCAAACTTTTTGGAATTGTCGTGTGGATTTTGCTGTCTATTGTCGAGGTGGAGTTGATGGATACTGGTGGAACGAATTTTCACGTGGGAGAATCTTCCAATCCGTACAAGAAGATCCCAGATGATAAATTTATAAAATACGTTTCGAACAAGTATGGAAAAAAGAATCATGTTGAGTTGGATCTATTCATGAAAGGTGTAACGTTTGCAGAACATGGCGAAAAGACCAAGTTTAAAGAGAAGTACGTCCAAGGTGGTAATCTATCGCCGGACGTGTACAAATTATTCAATCCCTACCACAAATTCGTGACAGATCTTTACAATTCCGTTAACAAAGACAACAAGGCACGTTACCGAAATGAGTTAATGACAATGGCTCGACGCGTCCATGGTGGCTACGCACTTGCATTAGGACGTGAAGTGATGCCACCACCTGGTCTAAACGAAGCTGAGGAGAAAAAGGAATCTTCAATGTTTTCTAAACTATTTAAGATAGCTAAGAAAAGGTAATACAATTCTCATTTTTTAACTTTAATTAGTAAACACGTAAATTTCGCAGTTTTGTACTACTACTACTACAATTTTAATATAAGTGATTCTGTACCCGTGAAACTTATTGTCCCAGCTCACTCCACTACCAAATCATGCAATAAATGCAATGAAATATTTGTTTTTGCGTCACTCGTAATTGTAAAGTCTGGTAAAAGACTATAATCTGCTATACGAATCTAGCATGAGCCTAGCCCTTCACTATACCAATATAGACCTTGCTATTTTAGGCTGCTGAATTTTTTTATTGCGTTGCAGAGGTCATTGTCTGTAAAACACAATAAGTATCATAGTATGATTTCTTATAATGTGACAGAGTACGATACGCCTCTTTGCTTATACCAAATTTTTTGCGCAAAACACTTGTTAAGAAGAAGGCTTACCCTACTGCTTGGAAGTGTGACGGGGTAAACACTGTACTTAAGTCTACAACATTTACACGATTGTGCAATTGATTTATATGAAGGTGATGAGACTCAATATAGGAGAGATTTATGGTTTCTAGCCACACATTTAGTTTTAAACGATTTTACCATATTTTATTTCATAAATATGGTAAAATCGTGTATATTACACTAATTGTGAGTATTATTGGTATACATAAAAATTACATAAGTCCGGAAAGAGTGCGTCAGATACAAAAAAAATTATCGTGAGGAACAGAAACGTAGATACTCCGTAAAATTCTAAAAGAACAAACGATGAGTATATACGCTTGAAGTTGCAGAGCAAATTAACAGCGTATGTTGTTGGAGGCACTTACCGGCTTTTAATAATGCGCTGTTGAGGTACGTCCGTAGCGTTTCAAACAGACGCTGGTGGAAATATAGATGACTCCCACCGTAAGACCGCTGATGTTTAGCGTCAAGGCTATTTAAGACCATGGCGTGGAATCGATCTCTCCGATGAGAGATGGTAAGCGAAAGTTGAGATGGCCACGATCTCGACCTTGTTCCAAATGAAGTCACAGCGTGCTGTGCTTGGGCTCTCTGTCCGTAGAGAACGCACATGAAAGGAGCACTTACGTGCAATACCTCGTGAAAGAAACGATTCCAACGTGAAACTACGTGGTGCGACATGTGTCGCTGATGTTTAACCAGGTGTATCGAGTGTGTTCGAAATTCTTGTCTACCCATCAAGGAAGACGAGAACTGGTAAACATAAATGCAAAAAGACACTAACTGACGTGATGGCGCCGGACTCTATCTTGGACGCAGTAACGCTAACCATCGTCAGGAATCTGCAAACGCATATGGATCAGCTAGCTTCCACACCAACCCTCTAGTCTGAGGAAGCCTTGAGCGGTGCACTCTATGCAAAACTCACTTTCCTTGCTGTGAGGTTGGATGAAAGCTTTGCGAGATGGCCGAAGTCAATACACGTAGTCATGCTGAGGATGAAGGCGGATATCTTTCAGCTGTTGAGCAGCTTCGCAGTATTAGCAGATGTTTTTTCGGCGGTAGTACATAATATCCGCTCCTTGTATTCCTTTGCTATTCTAATGGTAGAATATTTGCCGAGACAGGAGATAATCTCTTGATTCGTCATAGACTAGTTTGCACATAGAAAAGTTTGTCACTCGGGATACTCACGGGGCGAATACTGCGATGAATGGATTGGCTATCATCAAGGATTTCTTCTACCTCTCCTTTGTAAGGAAATATCGCGGCATGATGATAAGATATCCACCACACCTGTTTTTCCCAGATCAATCAGTGCGTCAAGAAATTAAATTGCTTTCCCAAATGAATGACTGCGTCACACATCAATTTACCTATTCAATAGTGCATTGAAGATTCCTTTCATACAAAGCACGAAGAGGATTCGGTGATAGAAAATTCATCTTCTCACTCAGTGTCAACAGTCTTATCAAAAAGGCTAAATGCAGGTGCTTAGCTGTCCATGCTTATATTCAATTAATTGTGGCCACGAATTAGGTGCAATCGCTAATCTCTGTAAAGTCTGATGCAGAATAGCTTTGTCGGTTGCACTTTGTTGAGTAACTGCTTATGAGAGGCAGCGATCACAATTTTGTTGTGAGTATCTGGCTATGCCACATGGACTGTTTAATGCACCAGCGACGTTTAAGCGTCTGAGTGATACAATTTGTTGTACCTCACCATGCAAATAAACATACCTATATCAGCGATTAATGTTTGCGTAGTTGGGGAGATTACGATGCGGTAGCTAGATTAAGCGTTTACGAACACTGCTTGACCACGCGTTTAGAGCTTTTATGCCAATACAAGCAACTGTGATTTTGTAGTCAGCATGATAGGCTGCTTTATCAAGATGCATGGTCCGCGAACGATGCTAGACGAGTTCATTGCCATAACTGATACATTAGTGTCTTCGTCTAAACGAATTCACGATAGTGGCTTGGCCTGACCAACTATTTATAAAGCGCACCGAACGCTATGCTAACACGACCCCATTCCTCTCAGATTTCTCAAAAAATACCGTCAATGCTGCCGGGAGCAGCAAACACGGCGAGCATTAGGTCAATTCTTTATACCGCTATGTCTGCTCTGATTGTGGCTCATCCAGGTCTGTATCGCAATTCATCATCGTTTCTGTGCATTATCCATTACATAGACTGCTCCATTACCGAAGCGAACGCCAATAGCTATGAACGTGTGACTGATATCACCTTTGCCATCTAATGATGACAGAGTAGAACGTAATTGCTTTCGATAAGTAACAATTACAAAAAAGTATGAATCGACGGATTTAAGATGCGTCTACTTGGCACATTGTGATCCATGCAGATTACGTATTGCCGCGCACAACAACATCACCTCTACTTCTCTCACAGAATATATCAAGACTACTACCCCTACATCTTTTAGGTAAGTAATACTTTGGATCGCTTTAGTGTGGTGGCGGTGCGCTTATGCGTTTCACCGACTCGCGATGGTAATATCAAAAGCCTACATATTACAAGATAGTGGCGACATGTGTTTTCTGGGGGCTTGAGCGTCTAGGAGTTAGAACTGGCATTTAAGAAAAGTGGAGCTGCTCGATTGCACCGCAATTCCTTATTTCAAGTCTTGGCGTTCCTCAGCATAAAACCACTTCACACTCGATGAGTGGAGGTACTACATGACAATGATCAAGTAATTGCTGTTTTAGGCACATAATATACCTTAATATGACCACCTTGACTAGGAGGACAAACTGCTCAGTGCTATACACTTATGTCTCAGTATAAGTAAGTGGATTAGCACGTATGTGTGCACATGTAAATATATGTCATCAGATCAAACACTCGCAATTGCATCGATGGCTTGGTTAGCTATCGGCCCCGGCAAAAAATAGCAGTTTATAAGTATATGATCATTCTCCGTCGTCCAAAAATGCGTCTGTAATGTACTTCCTGTAAACAGCCTGAGTAAGATGGCTCATTTTGTACTGTCAACGATACCGTTATCGACGATGATACAGCCAAGCTGTTCCTCAAAAAGGTTTTGCTATGTACTGGATGAAGATTTGCGTTTAACAGCAAACCTTTGGCGGGAATTTGTTTAATGTACTGGGCATTGACCCAGAAATTTCGATCGCATACAGCTGAACAAGACGAAACGCGAAAATTGCGCATCAAAACATATCTTACAAAGCACTTGCACGGAGATACTGCAGTGCTGAAGCGCACTCATCATGTTGCGCTTAGTAATGCCGTACATGCTTGTATAAGCTATACCCAAGTACAGAATTGGTTTGCATACCTTCGTGTGCCTTTGTTATCACCACGAAGTGCTTCTCGTCTAATTGAAGAAACAGTCGATCAAAATCGGCTTGTTGGTATCTACACGTTTTAGTAGAAATCCGAGGTTATTTTTATGATATTGGCTATCATGCGCAGGATGCGTGACTTCATGGCTAAGGGCCAAGACAAACAGAAGTAACTCGACGATACCAGTGACTGGTAAAGCGCACATGGATTAATATTACCTATAAACTTGATGAGGCACAGAAGCAGCAGCTGGATGCTGCCCGCAGAGCAGCTCTAATGCGCGCGCATCCGCGGTGGGTCCTTGACTCTCGTGTGGATTACGGCTTTCGCTCGACGGGTCCCGCTGCAGAAGCTAAGTATGCATTCACTCGATCTGTGGGCGTCTACGTGGTTGGGCCCCCGGCCACAACACAGTTGGACTTGACCAACGAAAAGCTCTACGAGATTGCTTCTTGGCTTCTCGGGAAATCCCTATGATACGGTTCGCACTTGTGCTCTAAGAGGAGGCGCTTCTGTACCCGCAATGCGGACGATTCTAGTGGTGCTCGCCCCTGGAGAAACCGCTGCTGATGATGAAGAGCCAATCGAGCGATGGGTGCAGCGGCACCGGGAATTTTCATCGCTGTGAGACCTACAGTTGAGTTACAGGGATGCGACGCACGTGTGGAACGCCATATTTACTTTGAGTTTGCCAAACTCATAGCATTGTTGCCCTGCAACATATGGAATTATCCAGCACGCTCCCGCGAGCTCTGTGGTTTCTCACACGGGTGAGACTGCCACCGCATCAGCTCAGGGCCATAGCTTCAGTTCAGCTCATGGTCCTTCGGCTTTCCTGGTTATTGCCGAGAAGCGCGGGTGCGGACGTCATGATCCCTCTGATCATAAGCACTCACGACGTCTGGGCAGTCTTGCCGAAGTGACACCTCAAACTCCCAAGAGTTCTCGGAGTCGGGGTATCCCCGCCACTTCACAAGAAATTGACCCTGGCGACGGCGTCGACCCACAAGATGTTCCATGTGATAGCGGACACCACCATTCTCGTCGAGATGAGTCAGCAGCGGACGACGACTAGGTTGATCACCGTCAGTTTACTCGCAATGCTCTTCGAGCTTTGAGTACAAGGTCCGTTGCCATGTGGACTCCGTTGAGCGACTTGCTAGTGTCGCAAACCGCTGCGCGGAAGACCTAGGCGCTTGGAGCACGTCGTGCACCGGCTGCCTCACGTTGAGGACTATCGCGCTCTGTAGGAGCGGCTCCTAGCTGTTGAGCAGAAAATTTTGTCGCTTCATGCGACGGTGAAGCGCTTGGCGCCGTTGAAGGAGATCGTCGCAATCCGTGCTAAAAGTATATTGCTGGTCCAGCTTTTGGACCTGTGGACGCCTGCCGGCGCCAACGCTCCCGCGCTCACTTGGGACCTTCAAAGGTTTTGGCTTAGCGGGCCTTGCGTATACGCTAAACCTTGCGAAACGGATGCGCACCCACCCGAGCAAGCTCATAATCTGGTTTGCATGACAACGCATCAGCCAAAGCATTCTGCTTTCCTGGCTTATACTTCATCTCGAAAATATTCTGCGGACAAGAAGAGTCACCTGGCCATCCTATGCGAGAGGTGAGGTGGCTGAATCGCAGTGCGTAGTAACGGATGATCTATGTAGATCAGAAACGGCTTGGAGCTGAGCAGGTGCACCCTGAAATTGACATTGCAAGCGCTTCCTTGTCACGAACTGGGTTGCTCTTCTCTGCAGCCTTGAGCTGACGAGATTCGAACACGATCACCCCGCCTCACCTGCTTGCAGCAGTGCACAGCCGATGGCAAAGTCCAAAGCGTCACAGACGACGCTAAAAGGACATTCAGGGCCTGGTAATGCCAGTATTGGTGCATGGAGGAGGCAGTCTTTGTCCCGTCAAAACCTCCCGATACACGGTGTCCCAACACCATTCCGCAACCTTCTTCGACAATGGCCGTGCCATTTCTGCGTAATTCTCGCTGTAATTTTACAAGTAGTTGGCGAGGCCAAGCCACTTGTGCAAGTACTTTTTTTTACTTTGCAGCCGGCAAGTTCACAATGGCCTTGACCTTAGCAGGGTCCGCCTGAAAGCCCCGCTTCCCGATGAGGCACCCTAAATAGAGACATCTTCGGCGCCGAAGATGCACTTATCTGCATTAGCAGACAGCTTATTTGTGCGCATGCCTTCGAGCACCGCTCTCAAATGAGCGATGTGGTTCTCTCCAATTGTCCTCCCTGCTCCGCACGACTGTAGACGAAGATGTTGTCGGAGTATGACTGTGCAAACTCTTGTTGGGCTTGAACGATTGCGTCACAAGACAATAAAATGTTGCTGGTACATTTTACAGCCCTTGGGGCATTACCAGGCACTCCCTAATCATGCCGCTCAGGGTTTTCACCGCTGTCAGCGAAACATCACTCGCTCTCATGATAAATTGGTGATACCATTGACCAAGCCGAGTGCACTGTACTTTGTACATCCAACCATGTTGTTCAGGAAAGCATCGTTCCTAGGAATCGACATCTGTGCCAGAATGGTGGTAGCGTTGAGCTTATTATAAGCGTGAAGGAGACGCCACTTGCCGTTCGGCTTCCGGACACAAAACGTGGGTATCAAATGAGAACTTACTCTCACGCACCATTCCTGCGTCGTGCTTCGCACGGAAGCAGGCATCAATGACGTCGTGCTGCTCCTTGGGCAGAGACCATTAGCGTGTTACGCAGTATTTGGCTCCCGGATCCAGGTTGATCTCACGACGCGCACCTCGGTCTGGCGGTAGGTCCGACGGGGGGTCTTTAGAGACGACGTTTTAAAATTCCTTCACCAAAGGATAGTACGAATCCGAGGAATTCTATAGAATCGACGATCTACTTCATGCGCTCAGCACCCTCTTGGTGTTCTCCAGGACAGCTTCATCCAGAAGCGACGACGAGTCCATCTCCGCTTTCGATCGTATAATGACCAATTCGGCTAAGTCGCCTGACGCCCGGCGGCTTGCTGCTAGCATACGGAGTCGCCGTTGCCTCTCCACAGAAGTTATACGTCTTGGACCAGTGGAAACACGCACTCAGCGTCGTCCAGTGTTAGCCCCACTTCCTGCTCCACCGGAGCCTTGAGGTTGTTAGCAATATCCGATGAAGAGCTGCTAGCTCCGCAGTCTTCGTCCAGTGGACAACGTGCCACTCCACGCGCATCGAAGGGCATATCTTATTCCTCGTCCGACCATGCCACTCTTGGCATGCAGCAACTGCATCGATACATGATCAGCGCTCATTGGATTACGTGCCACCCCACGTACAGCCGCTCCATGCTCTCTGGACTCCTGTCCGATACACCTTCGAGGATCACCAACTCGAAAAATCCGATCTCCAGCCCGTTGACCGTCTCGGTCCAGTGCCCGCGCCAAAAGCGCTTTTGCCTCCTAGCAGTGGTAAATGCATGACTCATCAAAGCTCCATCAGGAGAAGTGCGCGTAGCGCCCGAGGTCTTCGATCTCTAGTCGATCCATGGCTCACGGTGTTCCAACCACGCCATAGCAAGGATGAGATGATACCTTAATCCAAAGTCTAAGACTAAGCAGCATTTCATGCTATCAAAGTCAGAAACTTGATACCGAGGTCCACAGGGACCCTCGGCACCGTGACAGTGATTCAAGAAGTATTAGACGATTGTCAAGATTGATTTCCCGATCGATTGTCGAATCTTTGATCACCGCATCGCGCTATTGAACTCGACATCGATGCAAAGTTTCAACACCGACCGCCATTTAGATTGTTCTAAGTGGAATATACACCGCTGGATAAATTCGTGAACGATTTTGAAGCAACAGGTTGATTTCAGTTGTCAACTCGCGATTGGGGTATCCAATAATTTCGGCGTTCCGTAGAAAGACCTAGGTGAAAGTTTGCCATCAAGACGTGAATGGTTACGCACTGCAAGTGCAGATACGACGAAAAGGTGGATGCTCACCATGAAAAATCACAAACTTAAGTGTTAAAGAAAAGTTGATAAAGATGTTTGATCGAAAGTATGGAAGTAAGATCTGTACTCAGATTGAATTCGCGTCTGAATATGCTTTAATGCTCGATGTTCCAGCTAATGGAAGAGCTTTTCGAACACATCGCGAAGCCTACGATTGGGATGTTGCACGGCTGGAATGTCTAATATTCGTTCAGATATTTAGCAGGTCTTTACGGCTACTTAACTCTGACTGTAGCTGACTTGTAGACCTAGTCAAGAGGTATGGCTAAGAAAAATCATAGAATCTACCGCAAAAGAACACTAGGACGGACAAACGTACAAATTCTCTTTGCACAAAGTATCACAGATGAACAATACCACGCACGACATCTTTGACCAGATGTCGTGCGTGGTATTGTTCATCGGTTATATTGATACAAATGTCATCCATTTACGCGACAACAATGGTCGTTTGCCGAATAGACAGTGTATCGCTAGATACGCAACCATTGTGCTGCCACTAATCGAACTAGTGAGAGCATCAACACTTTGAAATTAAATGCTTAACAACGCAAAGACTTTTTGAAAGAACACCTGTGCTCGTTTAGCCAAATTTCTTCAAGGTTTCTTAGTTGCACTCCCAATATTACGCTACAGGTCTCCAACAAAAAGAATACATCAGTGATCAACGAAAAGAAAGCTATTCTAAGTCTACAGCAATCTCCATGCTGCTGAATTGCTGGTGAGGACCATGAATGTTCTTCGTTTGTATATTTGTTTTTGTTCTGCTTTTACTGTTATCAAATCTATTTTATACAATTGAATCTGTTAAGTCAGAGATATAAGCAATCGCTACAAACTACATGTAAACGGTGATGAATTCGTGCACTCCACATCTAAAGGAACAACTGTCAAAGCTCGCTTTTTTATCTCAACATTAACATAAATTTCTGCTTTCATTATAACTGTGCTACTTTCTTCATAATTCAAGCCACACTGATGCTCGTACCAGTACAGAGCCGTTCTTTTAATTGGCTTTAAAAATCGTGAGGATAAGATGACGGCGTTTGTGCATAACGTGTACGTCCTCCATCAACGATAGCTGTACAAATATGCATGCTGACGCTGCTTCACGTAGAAGTATTGAGTGTATCGAGTCGAATTTTAGAAATCCTCATTCAAATTGGTTTGATGACGGCAAGTAAAAATCATTGGGGGCAATATTGCAAATGTAATGGCTGAAATGTGTGGTCACGAGGGCGCTGCAAAAAACATCAGCAATGTACCCCTTTTACAAGCAGCTTTTCGTTCTCACGCAACATCAAAACTGTCCTCTCACACCTCTTAGGACACTCTTCAAGAGCACTATAAGTCGATGCTGCCACTGCATTTAGTTGAATGCTACGCCGGGCATACGATATCAAATCGCCAATTTCCAGATGATAATAATCAGCGACAAGACTCCCTATCGAATTTCGACTACTAATACAATCAAAAAGGGGCGGAGGCTGTTCGTCTTACTTAGTTGTCTCTGAGCCAGCAACACGGCCCCGCTGCAGCGCAGTGGTCCTTTAACTCAGTAAAAAAATTAAATCTCCACCATGATTTGTTATTTTTATGAAATGTGTGACCAGACTATGTAATTACCATATTTTAGATAATGTCGTTTGTGCTTTCAAAACGAGGAACTCGCTCGGCGTCATATTTACGATTGAAGGGCCCTTTGTACCTTCGGCGGAAACTAGGTCAACATCTACTAATCTCAGATGGCATCTTAAACCAGATCATCAGTGCTTCAGAGTTACCAATCACCTCTTCGGAACTTGTGCGTGTACTTGAAATTGGCCCCGGAACGGGCAACTTGACGTCAGCGCTACTGAAAGTGGGTTCGCATATCACTGTTCATGCAGTGGAATATGATTCTCGCATGGTGAGACAACTTAAACTTCGATTTCCAACTGAAATTGAAGCTGGTAAGCTCGTTCTCCAGCATTCTGACTTTCAAGACTTTCGCTTTGTATCGCTGATAGATAAGGTTGAGAGACCGTTTGATGCTTGCGTAGCCAACATACCGTATCAATTGTCGTCTCTGGTGATATCTCGGCTTTCGAGGTACATGCACCGCTTTGCGACGACGTTTAAATGTGCGGTGCTGCTAGTACAAGAGGAATTTGCATTAAGACTATTGGCCCAACCAGGCCACCAAAATTTTAGTCGCCTGAGTGCTAATACTGCGCTGGTAGCAGACATCACGTCGATTGTAGAAGTGCCAAGACATCACTTCTTACCTCCGCCAAACGTAGACTCAAGGGTAATCAAGCTCGTGCCCCGTGTTGCTTCGACGCCCGCGCTGCCATCAGATGACCCTTTATTTTTCCAGAAGTTTGATGCCTTGTTAAGATTGTGCTTCGTGCGCAAGAACAAGACACTGAGAGCTTTGCTATTGGAAAAAACAGCACGTTCGCAGTATGTTTTTAATAATGAGGCACTAGTTAATCAAAAAGACGAGCATCAGGTCATCACGGAGCGTGTTGAGGCAGCTTTGGATGCTAGTGGACTCATATCAAAGAGAGCGGTAAAAGTTTCGGTGGCTGAATTTATCAAGTTGATGCATGAGCTAAATGAACACGGAGTTGGCGTACGTCCAAGCTCGACGCGCCATTTCGAAATCTAGAGCAAAGACTTAAACGTCAACTATCGCATTCTTTCATTTCCTACATTCCAATCCATATTTTCCTAGTTTTCTACATGTTCATAACAGTCTTACAAGAGGCTAATTGATTCAGCTTTTCACCCACCGTCGTCTCAAAACCATATGATGGAAGCCACTTGCTACTAACATGTGTTACTGCTTTTGCGGCGCTTACTGAGGTGATGCCCCTGATGTCGATGATGAGCACAAAGTTCTTCTGCGACAGGAAATTCTTCTTTGTCCTGTATGCCGGGTGAGCTCACACGTTGCCGCTTGTGAAGGCCCTTTACCATGTGATCTCCACGCGAACGGCCACCTTCCCTGCCACCACTTAGCGATGCCTCGGACGGACCTGCTGCTGTATTTTTGAATAAATCAAACGGCTTTTGATTGGGCTTACTATGGACAACCTCAAAATATTCATCGCCGACTTTTGCACACAACTTTTGTTTTTTCAAACTCGAGAACAAAGGCTTTACGCATCGTGTACTGTTGTTCGAAACGGCTTCGATATCACTTCCAAAAGCACGTCGTTTACGCGACTGTGGCGTATGATCAGCAAAATTCGTGTTGTTGGAACTTTTAACCTGCGATGGGGACTTGTACAGTGTCTGATTGCTGTCCGAATTGTCTAATATCTGGTTGCTGTCGTCGTTCTCTTCTCCATGTGTGACTTCATCAAAGTCCTGTCCTTCATCACAAATCTCACGTTTCAAAGGCGTACTATTGGACGATATCGATACTTGACCAATACGTTGAATGAGTGACATGGACGTCTCACTACTGTCCGTTTCCTCTGTCAACGAACAAATCTCAGGTGCGTGCATGGCTTCGCGTGCTGTCAATATGGTCTTCTTTTCCATTGTTTCTATCGTTTTGGCATTAAGTACTTTCTCACATTTATCCTCATTGCCAGCTTCTTCTATCTCGTGACTTTTCATCTTTCGCGTTAGCTCTTCGATAGCTGCGAACGAATCAAGTCCCTGACGTTTAAGTCGTCCCAATTCTTGCTTCACAATAAGTGCGCGTACAGCATCGTCATGATTCATTTGAAACTGACGCATGACGCTACGAACAGCTACAGCGTCGGGTGGCTCCGTGCTGGCTACGATACGTCGCAAAAGCAGCTTTACAGCTTCCTCACGCTTCGTGCCGCTTACTAGAAGCAGCTGCAGCTCCTGCTTTACCACACTTTGAAATTTCTGCTGCGCTTCTAGCATACGCGCACTAGAAATTGAGTCTGTGCGGGACGAAGAAGCCACGCGCCGCGTCGTCTTCGGAGCCTCCATGCGCCTAAGTGCGGAGAAGCAAAGACGGAAAGTGCGACTTTATAACCGCAACCTCTGCGCTGATTGGTGAAATTCACGATTAAAATTTATTTTTGACGCCTTCGGATATTCTTTTCATCCAATAGAGTAACTAATTTATTTGTTGTTGTTAATGAGGCGAATCAGTTACACTTTGTCGGACGAACGTATAGCTGCACTATTGAGCCTTACGAACAGTATCGAAGTAGATCTGATAAATGGCGCGACGCATTCATCAAAAACGCAATGCCAAGATGTACGAGCGACCGGGTTTGAGTCAAGAGGAGATTGAGGAGATTCGTGAGGCTTTTAATCTTTTTGATACGGACGGCAGTGGCACGATCGATCCAAAAGAGCTTAAGGCCGCCATGCAGTCACTGGGCTTTGAGGCGAAGAATCAAATTATCTATCAAATGATTGGAGATATTGATAAGGATAACAGCGGATCGATTGACTTTGAAGAGTTTCTAGATATGATGACAGCAAAAATGGTTTTACTTGAATTTTTGTTTTTTTTCTTCCTATTCCGTTTTGCTGACGTTTTGTATGTATATTGCCTACCTAGAGTGACAAGGACTCGAGAGAAGATATACAAAAAGTTTTTAACCTTTTTGATGACGATCAAACTGGCAAAATTTCACTACGTAACCTTAAGCGCGTAGCTAAGGAACTAGGCGAGACTATGACCGACGCTGAGTTGCTCGAAATGATCGAGCGCGCTGATACAGATCAAGATGGAGAGATCAACGCCGAAGAATTTTATGCTATTATGACTAAAAAGACTTTTACGTAGCAACAACAATTACAGAGACGTGTTAAGCTCCATATTAAATCTGCATTTTTACTTCAAAACATGGACTTTGGTTTTTATCTACATTTAGTCTGCGACGGAATCGTTAAGAGCTACGCATATGACAGCCTTGTGGTGGCCACTATATTGGCGAATGGCTTCGCCTTGACTCAAGTCCCATAGCCGAGCACTTTGGTCCGAAGAACACGTGACTAAGTACGACGAGACAGCTGAGAAAGCGCAATCCCAAACCCATCGTTGATGACCTTGCAACGTATGAATGAGTCCTGTATTGCTCGGCACAGGTGGCGTTATTGAACCAAAAGTAGAACTCATGCTGAACGATTTCATTGGTCGCTGCGAGCTCATTGACCCGTTGCTGTGCGTCTCGGGCTCAGCTACGTCACTGTCCGCTGAAGCTGCCATTGCTGTCGGAAGACTCCATACCTTAGCAGTCTTGTCCGACGAGCATGTCGCTAAGAACTTCCCATTTGCGCTTATTCGTGCCTTCAAAATATAGCCATTATGGGCCTGGATCGACCCGTGTAGCTCGAAATGCCGTTCTGGCTTTGGACGATAAAAGAAACACTTGCCGTGATTGTTAGCCGCTACCAACGCACTACCATCCTGTACAATGTCAACGGATCGAATGCTACTCTCGCCTGTTTCACCTGTCGGTGGCTCCAATTTTGTAACCAAGGCGTTAGCCGTGAGGTCATACACGCGCACGACACCATTCTGATCGCCCACAATTAGCTCTGCCTGGTTTGGATGCAATACTACTGAGTTAAGGGGCACCCCTGCATCGTAACTACGCTGACATCCAGGTGCACGCAAGTCCCAGATTTTGACGCTGCCGTCATCCGAACACGAGAATATCCATTTACCGTGGCGCTGGAAGCCTAAGGACGTGACATTTGTGGCGTGTCCATCGTAACTCGTCACGTGGTTGGGATTGTTGCTGTTGATTTCGAAAAGGCGAATGTGTGGATTACCGGCCGCTGCGATATACTTTTTGTCCGGTGTGATCTGAAGGCAATTTACTTGCTGCAGCAAGTAAACAATCAAGTCAGTAAGACTAGAACAAAACGATTTCAAAGCGTTGTGCAAGATTAATATCGTACAGCGAGCAACTCACCGAATCAGGATACTTGACTGTGCGATTGCATGTGCCCGACGCGGCTTCCCAGAAGCGAATAGTGTGATCATAACCTGCTGTCGCCAAGACTACCCCTGCCATGTTTGTTTATTACCTTGACAAGCTATATCACCTGTCAAACATGATACAATTACAAATACTAATTTGAGACACACATACAGTAAATACCCGCCCCGTGATCTTGGCTGCATAGTGCGGACGAGTTTAAAAGGTTGCGGACTTAGCACATTGCAGTCCTCGTCTATCGTTTCCACATTTTCAGCTCATCATAGACAGTCCGCGAATTCTCGCGCTGTTCAAAAGAAGATTATGGGGAAGGACAACATGTTACCGAGGTCCAGCTCCTCGAAATTCTTGGGAAGACGGATTTGTCGATCGGCATAAATCCTTCCACGCGGAGTCTAGCGAGGGAGTGTGGTTTTGATTACAAAACAATTCATAATATTTTTTCTGCATCAGAAGAGATCGAATCATCAGCAATGAACATGAAAGTCACAATGAAAGAAAAGATATTTCGGATTGGAAATCTACATTAGGAGAGAACCTCTGTGAGTTCATTGAAGGTTACCGAAAGTTCTCGACTGAGCTGCCGTTCTCGATGATAATAGCTAGAACAAGACCAATCGCGGAAACAATGCCTGATTGCGAAAAAATAGCAAGTTGGGACTGTTTTTTTGTAGAAGAGGAGGACTGCAATCTATTTTTCTTCACCGAGATGGCAATGGCATCCGCCATGCTCCAGAATGAGTAAGAGGCGTGGCGCTAGCTATCTCCAAGCGTGAAGGCCGAGCGCGAGAATGGGCACTAAAGTGCGGTGCTTGAAGAAGCGCTCTCCTCCTGGAAGGATCTGCTTTTGTGAGGCATATCGTGAGCTATCGCGTTTCCATGCCGCTCGACAGGGCAAGATAAAATCGGTGACTCTGTCCAAGAGATGCGTACTCTCGCCGGTATGGCAGCCGATCCTCTCCCCGAGGCGGTCACAGTGATCGTTTTTATGGAGAGCCTTATGGCCAAAATGGAAGTCTTCCATGTTTATCCGTCTTCTTTTAAAAAAGTGGTAAATGTGGCATCGAATGCCTTATTTGACTTTAATTGGGCACGACTTGACTGAAATGCACACCGCAGATCTCGTCGAGCTGGCCTGAGCCAATTAATATCAGCTATGCTGAGAACGAGGAGGAAGAGCTCCGAGCCGCCAAGCAGAGTTCGAACACCCGACGGTTTCTGTCTGTGGAGACACTCGTCACCTTGGGACTGGTTGTTCCCTGCGCAAGGCGCGCAAAGGTTCGCCGACCGACGTCCTGCTTCTAACTAGGCTGTTTTGATGCGGGAAAAGGAGAACACCCAGTAGGCGCGAAGTGCCTTTCTGGTTGAAACTGAGTTCTGTTGGACCTCAAAGAGCAGAGCTCAGCCCCCAAGAGCTCCGTGCTCTTGAACACGGAACGTGTAAGCAAGCCGGGCTTGCTGGTCGTAAATGCGAACGTGAAGGACTTTGAAGTCATGGAAGATCCTTATTGACCCCGGGGCGTCGGCAATTATGCTCGACGCTCCACGATCGAAGGAACTCAGCTGCTGGAAGCGCGGTTGAGCGAAACCGTCACTCTTCGCTTAGCGATGGAGGACACCAAGAGGATGTTAAACGCGCGAACTGAATTATCGATCCTGAAGGACCCCTCGGGTCCTTGTTATACTTTGGTAAGGGAATTTCAAGACGTCGTCCCCGAAGACCCGCCGTCGCATCTACCTCCGGACTGAGGTGTGCGTCATGAGATTGACCTGGTTCCGGGGACCAAATTCTTCGTAACACGCCAATGGCATCTGCCCAAGCAGCAGTGCGACGTCTCTGAAGACTGCTTCCGTGTGTAGTACGAGGCAGGAATGGTGCGTGAAAGCAAGTTTCCCATTCGACACACTCGTTTTGTTTTCGGAAGCCGAACGGCAAGTGGCGTATCGTTCACGCTTGTAATAAATTAAGCGCTGATTCCTAAAAAGGATATTCTCCGAATAAGCATGGAAGGCTGTACAAGTACAGCGCACTCGACTTGGTCGATAGTTATTACCAATCGGCATGCTCTGGGAGTGGCTTGTGATGCCCCAAGGGCTGTCAAATGCATCTGCAACATTAAATCGTCTTGTGACGTAATTGTTTAGGCCTCATCGGGCGCAGATATACTTCGACGACATTTTTGTCCACAAACGTGCGGGGCACGAAAAGACAGATGTGAAAAACCATATCGTCCATTCGAGAGCGGTGCTCGACTTCATACGCATGAAAAAGCTGTATGCTAATGCCGATAAGTGCATATTCGACACGGAAGGGATTTGCTTTTTAAGGTGCTTTATTGAGAAGTGTGGCCTTCAAGCCAATCCTGCTAAGGTCTAGGCCAATGTGAACTGGGCGGTTCCAAAGAACTCAGAGGACTTGCACAAGCGACTTGGCCTCGCCAGCTACTTGCACAAGTACAGTGAGAACTACGCAGAAATGACACGGCTGTATTCGAATCTCCTTAAGAAGAATGTGGAATGGTGCTGGGACACCTAGCATCAGAAGCCTTTTGATTGGAACAAAGACAGCCTTCTTCATGCACCAATTTTGACGTTGCCAGACGCAGATCGTTCTTTCAGTGTCTTCTGTGACACTTAGACCTTGCCATTGGCTGTGGACTGGTGCAAGCAGGCGAGATCTGGTGATCGCATTCGAATCTCGTCAGATCAAGGCCGCAGAGAAGAACAATCCAGTTACGACAAGAGACTACTTGCGATGAAGTATGCACTTGTCAAGTTCAAAGTGCACATGCTCGGCTTTAAGCCGTTTGTGATCTACCCAGATAATGCGTCACTACGCACTGCGATTCATTCGTTTCGCCTCTCGCATAAGATGGCCAGGTGACTCTTTTTTTCGCAAAATATAACTTCGTGGTGAAGTATTCGCGGGAAAGCAAAATGATTTGGCTGATGCGTCATGACCAGACTATGAGCTCGCTCATGTCACGACGACGTCGTCCGTGACGCATTTGATCTGCGATGCGTACGCGGGTAATGATATGTGCATAGCGCTGCTACAGACTCTCGGGAGCAAGGAGTTTGAAAACTCAAACAGGAAGTTGCTGTTGCGACTGCGAGCACGGTTGCACCGATATTCATTGACTAATGGTTCGCTGTATTATAGCACCAACTTGACAGATACGCCACGAATTGTGGTTCCTCACGATAAAGTACTATCCTCTATGAGGCCCACGACACCACGACACCCCACTCAGTGTGTTGGCATTCCATACGTATTTGGACTGCTGAAGGACTCGGCGGGCAACAAGGGTGTGGTCTTTGTGGACCATTTGAGCTAGATGGCTCATCTTGCGACAGTGTCGGACACCATCGACGATGTCGAGCAACGCTGTTTGTGGATTGTATCTTTCGACAACATGGACTCCCGGAGTCAATTGTCTCTGACAAAGACCCACGTTTCACTGGGAAGTTTTGGTCGACGATCTTCAAGGTGCTGGTCACCAAGCTGGATATGTCAACAACGGGCCATCCGCAGACCGATGGTCAATCTGAGCGCGTGAACCGTATTGCTGAAAAGGTTCTTCGCAGCGTCTGCGTTGAGACAATGAAGCGCTAGAGTGCCATGCTGGAACTTGTCGATTTCCGCTGAACAATGCAGAGCATTCATCTACCGGATACACGCCGTTCTACGTGAGCAGGCTTCTTAATCCTCGCGTTCCGCTGACACCGCCATCCCATGGCTCAGGGCTTGTTGAGGAGGAATAGCCGAGCGGATAGCTGATGTCAGCCCTCTCACCATGCGTAAATAAGTCGAAGACTTTTTGTTTACCAGATTGAGTGTCTTACGACACGTTTGCGATACGATGGCTGAAAGCCAAGACATGCAGAAGAAATATGCAGACGGAAAAGGAATAAGAATTGCTGACAACATTGAGGTCGGAGACCTGTTTTATTTAATGCCAAACCCTTCCTACACATGCAGCTTCTGCTGTCTTTAAGACAAAGTTCCGTCCGCGGTTTATTGGACCTCTTAAGGTCGTGGCCACGCGAGGCCTTGCGTATAGGCTGAAACTTCCGAGAAGGATGCCCACCCACCCGGTGTTTTGTGTGTACTTACTAAAGCCGTACCGGGATTCGGCGAAAGTGAACGCGGAAGCGTTGGCGCCGGGGTGGCGCCCAGACGCATTCGGCCACTTAGAAGTTAGACCAGCATCTGGTTCCAACAGCGCAAGGCACTCCACTATCGCATGAAGTGATGTATTTGCCTGCTCGACGGCTAGGAGCCGCCCCTACAAAGCACGATAATTCTCAGCGTGAGGCAGTTGGTGCACAAAGTGCTCCAGACTCTCGAGGTCTTCCACAGCGGTCGGCTACCTCGGAGAGAGGCTAGTCAAAATGGCAATGACGACGGACTTTGCCCTCCAACGCTCGAAGAGCATCGTGGGTCACTGGACGGCGATCGACCAAGTCGTCATCGTCCGCCGCCGACTCTTCTCGACGAGAATGGCGGCGTCCACTACGACGTTGAACGCCTTGTGCGTGGGCGACGTCGTCGACGGGGCTTGACCCAATATCTTATGAAGTGGCGGAGATACCCGAACTCCGAGAACTTGTGGGAGTTTGAGGTGCTACTTCGGCAAGACTACCCAGACGTCGTGGACGCTTATGATCAGAAGGATCATGACGCTTCGCGTTGTTGCCGTGCGCCCCGTGCGTCTCGGCAGTAGCCCGGGAAGCCGAAGGACCATGAGGCCATGGCCCTGAGCTGATGTGGCCTTTGGTGAGAAAGCACAGAGCTCGCGGGAGCGTGATAGATGATTCCATGTATCGCAGGGCGACAGTGCGCACGCCTTGACTTTGGCAAGCTCAAATCTAAGATGGCGCTCAACGCGCACGTCCACTTCCGTGTGGCTCCGCTGTAAATTTGACAGCGAGGAAAAGTTTCTGGTGCCGCTGCACCCATCGCTTAAAGTGTATTTCATCATTTGCAGCGGTTTGGTCAGGGGCGAACACCACAGCAGTAGTCCGCATTGCGGGTACAGGAGCGCCCCCTTCTTTGAGCTCGAAGGTGCAGCGGAGCTGCCGTAGCTCTTTGCTCAAAGAAATTTTAGATAAGGTCATCGACCATACGTTCTTTCCAGGAAACAGTGAAAGGATAGCGGATCGCAATACTAAAGCCTTATCAAGGCAAGCGAACACTTATATTAGAAATTCAAACTGTAATTAGTTGTTTTAGTTGCGGCAGAGCCGCGAATATCTAAAACCCTAGGTTTAAAACAGTAATACCTAATTAATATAGTTATATGCATTATATGCATTAGTGGCTTCTTGTTACGGTCTAGCCACGTTACACTAGCTTGTGTAATCCACACCTACGTACGGTCGCACCATCATTTGCAATCCGCCTTTTTTTACAAGGGCACGTGTAACCTCGTTATCGAAGGCGAGCGCGGTGCATATCCATGGAATAAAAACGTCTTGAGGTACCAAGAAGCAAGCTCGGAGAGCTTTTCGCTTGTCAATATCGGCTTGTGTAGTGGCCGGGAGCCCGAATACGCAGACGCCTAACGGTCGAGTAATTGCGTCATTCGCTTCAGTAACGGGATCCGTCGAGCGGAAGCCGTATTCCACACGAGAGTCTATGACCAACCGCTGAT